GTCGGTGTTGTATCCTTTTTAGACTAACTCCTGTAAGGTTTAATAATGAACTGGTATTTTCTTAATATATTTGTTAAAGTTTACATGCATGTGTTTCAGTAAAGAACCAGACTGTTTTTGTTGTTTGCATTCTTGACATTAATTGTTGCAATAGCTGATGGGATTAGCGGTGTATAACAGCATTATTCTGGACATAAGATTTCCTCCTTGTTGTTACAAGAAGCTGCTGAGTCCAGCTGTAGTTCCTTTTCACAATCCTAACGCCACAGTTGGTATCGCTTCATTAGGACTTCAGGATCTTATGGAAACAATGCCAGTAAGTTATAAAATAAAAACGTTGCATCGTGTAAACTTTATTTAGTAACTGGAAGTTTGCTCTCTTTAGTTAAGGGCTTTTGCAAGTGCGATGTCCAGGATTTTCAGTTGATTTTTGCGTCGCGAAAATTTCTGTTTAACGTGTACGGAACTAGTATTTGATGACACTCAATCGAAGTTGCCATATCGTCTTTATTTTGTAGGATCTTGGTCGAGGCTTGAAGGAACTTCTGGAATATGAAGGTGACGTGGAAGAAGATCTTTGTCAAACATTCCAGGTTAGTTGAGACACTATCGATCAGGATAACAGGTTCTGGAGTTACATAGAGAGAACAAAGCGGTGATGCACAATTGCGATAGGCACATAAAGGGGGAAAGATGCTTTAAGAGAAGGAACTGTTTTCTTAAAGACGATAAGGCAAAATAATCTAAGGGGATAGCAAATCAAGGGAACTCATTCTAAAGCTTGTAAATGATGAAATGCCAGTGCAAAAGTTAGTAAATAATGATATGGACAACTAAACTTTACTTTATAATGTATTGAAAAGACAGTGAGATCTACGAGAAACACCTACATGTAAGAAATGAGGAGAAAGTCGAATAAAATGTTAAAAAGAAAATCACTTTGAAGATCAATAGACGTGGCAGTTTCTCTACTTACTTGTGTCCTTTAACATACTTATGAGCCCTTGCTTGTAATCATCTTCAGCTTTCTTTGGTTAGGCTTTTGACGATGGCTGCTTCATTTGCAGATTTCTTACACTATATTTGGTGAAGTTATCACCCATAACCTCAAGCCAAAAGGTGACAAAATCCCCGTTACTAAAGAAAACAGACAAGGTACATTTATAAACCGTACGTAGTATGTTAACTGTAATTCTTATTTCATCGACCAACCAGGGGCCTCTCTTGCCTCAGCACAGAAGGGTTTCTTCAACAATGTCAAATTACCTTGTGTCGCATAGCAGTAATTAAAATTGTATTCCTCATTGATGGTCAAAAGTACTATGCGTTTGATCAATCAAAGTCGCGCGCAAGTTGGTGTGTTCGAAAGTATATCTGAGCAAGGTTTCAGAATTCCAATATGTTGGGCATTTCGTGTGTATAAAAATGGAACATTTTTTGCACGGAGATCATGCTGTAGGTTGAAGTAAAAGGCTATTGACGTCCGCGCAGTGTGTTAGTACAGTCGAAAAGCTGATATCAGTGTACGTTCATCCCAACTCGAATAGGGTGTAGTGCATGTTAAAGCTTACAGTGAAAACGTCTTTCTTTTTTTCAGAATACGTGAATCTTTACGTGGATTATCTGTTAAACAAGTCCATCTACCAACAGTTTGCCTCCTTCTATCATGGTTTCCACAGTGTCTGTGCTTCAAACGCCCTCATTGTTAGTATATCAATTGTTCGTTTCCTCTTACATTTGTTCCACTGTGCAGCTTTTTAGTCAGATGAAGTACTCAAATGTGTAAACTGTCTGCGCTCTTTGACCAAAAAAAAACAAAAAAAAACAGGCAAACCAGGTCCAATGGTTTGATCTCGCCTTATTCAGAATATTAAACATGGTGACGATTTCGGTAAGCAGGTTTTCAAGCCTGAAGGTTAAGTTATGAAGTTTCGTTAACTCAAAATCACTTTTAGTTGATAACATGGTAGTTTTCTTTGAAACTAACTTGTTCCAATGGAGATTCAACATAAACTGACGCGCATGTATTTTGCGGCTGTGATCTTAGATGTTACGTTCAGAGGAAGTGGAGATGTTAGTCTGTGGAAACCCTGAACTTGACATGGATGCTCTAAGAAAAGTAACTGTCTATGATGGCTACACCAAGAATGATTCCGTCGTTAGGTATGTAAAGGACAACTGACACAATTCATTCGTCAGCTGACGTTTCGAGCGTTAGCCCTTCGCCAATCGCAGTGACGAAGGGCTAACGTACGAAACGTCACCTTTTAAACTCTTAACGGTGGCTAATTTACGTTATCAACGCATTTGATAAAAGTAAATTACCCTGTTATACTCTCCCATCGACGCAGCACCACAGTTTTTTAAGAGACTTACCCCCTTATTTATTTGTAGTAGAGATGATGTCTGGCAGGCAGACAGATAGACAGCTTAAATACAGGCAGAGTAACAAATTTAGACCAAGGCAGTCATCAGGCAAAAGGATGGTTAACTCTTAGATCTAGAGGTTGCCAAATCTTCCGCGACAGTCTGTCTCATTCCCTTCAATCTTTAGGTATTTCTGGGACGTAGTTCTGTCCTTTTCTTTGGAGCTGAAGAAAAAACTGCTGCTATTTGCAACCGGAAGTGACCGTGTACCGATCGGTGGGATGGGCGAAATGGAATTCAAGATAATCCGTATGGAAGTAGCCCACAGCACCAGCATGTGAGTCAATCTACACTGAAACATCAGTTGCGAACTAAGTTCGAAAGAGCGCATTCGACTTTTGTTGAAAAACCGGAATAAACGCAACGGTTTCTCAGAGGAGAGGAAATATCAGAATGAGCCGATGAGAACTCAATTTAATACTTGTGTGGGAACTCCCTGGAGCGAAAGAAAAACGTAAATGAAATAGCTTTAATCTTGCATGCAGTTGGCTTAGAGCATAGAACGTGTTTTAAAGACCAATCGTGAGTGTATAAAGCAACCCGATGCATTCCAGGATCACAGGCAAATAAAAACTACATGAAAATTTCGTCTGCAGTACTAGACTTCAAGCGTCGCATATCTTTCATAGAAAAAACAAATAGTGACTGATTTACGCGTATCTAACGATTACATTTGATTCTTTCTTTTTAGGTTGCCAATGTCTCACACCTGCTTCAACCAGCTTATTCTTCCTCCATATAAGAACCGAAAGATCCTGAAGCAAAAACTCACTATTGCTATTTCTAATGCAGAGGGCTTCGGAATCGAGTAGTGATCACAATGGAAGGACTTTGTGAACGTCTCATTCTTCGCTTACCATCAGTAGTTATCCAATCCCGCAAAGCCGGACTTGGGCGGGAACAGCTCACGAGACACACAGCGATCTTGTCACCCTTATAGGAATGCATGGACATTTTAACAGTGTAAAACGTGTCAGAAGAATATATTCATTTTCTAATTCCAACTTCAATCAGCGGGACTAATCTTAATGTAACACAGTAAGAGTTATGTATTGATTTGTTTACTTTATTTCAAAATTTCCGATTGCTCTGATATTTCCCTTCTTAAAAAAGGAGGACCCAACCGTTTGGTTTGACTGACAATTTCATGCTTTTGCTGTGATCGGTAAGGAAGGAAACGTTTTCAATGAATTGGTTTTAGTGGATCATCGCGCAACATCAGAGTCGATTAAAACATCAGTATTTGACGATTCTATAATCGAAAATCGCCGGTTCAAGTGTACAGTCTCGGCCAAAATAGTGATCTGACCTCATTTGCAGAGTTGTGGCGTCTTCCAAAGGTTGTGATATTTGGTAATTGTTTCGCATTGACTTCTTCAAACGCGTTAATGATTAATTTTCCCTAAGACTTAATTGTTAAGTAATTTGTTTTTAAAAGTGTACAGGTATGACAGTTGTAAACAGTGTATATACCTAGTCTTCATATTGAGATAACGTTTTATCAAAAGGACAATTTGTTTCAATGAGTGAATAGATGTTTTGAATAGTACTTTCTGTTGACAAGGGCTCTTGGTATTCTGGTCACTTTCTTTTAGGAAGTGAAGTAAAACATTTCAAGCGTATTTGATCCTAAATCATTTCCCGAAAATTCATTTGGAAAGGAAACAATAAAGAGTGCTTGCTTGTTAAATTGTGACCGTGGTGAGTAAAAAGCAGATTGTCTCAGTTACGAATGCTATCTGCTTTCGAAGATGACGCGACTCTTGAAACATGCCTATGAGCAATTCTCACTCTCCCGCAATAATGTTGTTAATATCTGCAAAAGATTGGTGTGTAGCTCAGGGAGAAGTTACAGTTAGTCACTTCTTGGAATTAAAAGTTAATTCTTTACAAACCATTAGCGACCACGCTCTTTGCGTCGCGCCTTACATGGCTGTTGACGATCAAGACTTTCCTTGCAAGTGGGTTTAGCTCGTTAATAGTACGTAAAGTTTGCGTTTTGCACATTTCGAATAGTTGAGGCGTTCTTGGGCTTGAATATGGGTACATGTTGTTCATGGAATCGGCAGCAGGTCGTGGTTTCAGCGCTGTTTGCGTAGTGAACGAGGAATTCGAATATTGCCAGGATAGGAGCCGACTAATTCTGCCAAACAAACTTCAAGTCGTCGCCAGTAAGTGCGCATGTGTTCCAGTTCTTCCGTTCATCGCTCAGTGCTGTGCACCGAATGTGAGAGCAGTATTGGCGACAAATTAGCTTTAATCGTCCTCATTGTGGAAGATAACACGATTTTCCATCAATGCTACGCGAAAATTACAACTGAATTGCTAGGAAAGTCGAGGATGAAAGTGCGTGTTCTGCGGGATTTAGTACATTTTCGCAAAGAATTTTCAGAATTTTGTACAGCGCACAAAGTTCACACACGGTTTCAAGGAGCCAATGCGATCAGACCTCTGAAGATGGGAACTTCCCACCAACAGCATAAGTTTATGAATTTGCCATTGGGTGGAACAACATCAGCAACTTAGCCAGACGCGGACTCTATCATAAAGGGCGGTCACTGTCGTACCAAGTCCACACGTAAAGCAATTTAATCATTTCAAACAATTCCATTTTTTAAAATATATTTTGCGTGAAATCGACTGTAATTAATTTGTTCTACACATTTACTCAAGTGAACTAAGTAACTATTTACATGAAACCTTGAAACCTTCATCACCAAAACAAGAAAAAGCTACAAAGGTTTACTTCTCTTGCTGAATTAAAGCAAAAAAAGGGCAAGAACGTACGAACTAGCGGGCAGTAAACAAGATATGAGGTCACTTTCTACGATTTCCTACACTGTGTTAGTAGAAGGAACCCTTCCAGCGAACCATATGCTCTGAATTATTGGTTTTGACTTAACTAATAGAATCACCCAGCCCACGGCTCTGGAATCTAGTTCTCAGTCGTCTTGTCACAAGCGTGGGACAAAAAAAAAAAATTTTGAGTCCCCATGAGGATCGAACCTCAGACCTTCGGATTCCGCTCTCCGATGTTAGTCAGAAATGTCTTGCTTTCACAGAAATCTGGAAAGACATTCTGGAAAGGCATTCTGTAAAGGAATTCTCCGATAAGAGCTTATCTGCTACCGTAGAGAGAAAAATCAACTTCATTTATTACCCTTACTCGCTTACTTTGTACTCCAGTTTTCACTGCTACCTTAGCAAATGCAACTTACTGCTCCGTAGTGCTCTACGGATTTAAATCTTAACTTTTTCACTGCTACGAAGCTCGTCGCCTTTCTTGTTCTTAAAAAAAATAAATGTAACTAGTTTAACTTAAAACCTGGTTAGCTATTTTGTGCCATTCAGTTGCAATGTGTCCGAGACTTCTCTTTAATGGAGTAGAGCTTAGATAGAGAGAAGGAAAAGAAAAGGCAAGATAATGCTTAAAAAACATGTACAAAAAATTCTGAGATGCTAGTTTTTCTAGTTATTTCAACCCAGCTCCAGGCTTTACATAGAATCTCTTGTGCAGTTATTTAACTTCGTAAAGCCTCCAGTCGAGCCTTCATGTCCTCCATTTCACCTTCATCATCTGATGGAACCATCGCTGCTGCCCCTTCCTGTTCTCCCTAAAAGAATGGGAAAGAATTTTAAAAATAATCATGTCATTCTAATCATGTTGTTGTCTTCAAGAAGGAAAAAACAATTTCGCTACCACATGCAGTGTGTGCTCTGACCGTCAGTTATATTGTATTTTGTTCAAATGAGACCAAAAAAACTGTTAGCAGTCATAATAAGCCATGTAGTTAAAAAAACAAGTCAAACTGAGGCTACACATGCATGATTACATGTTGTAATTAAAAGGAAACTTGATCAAAGGACAAAATATGCAAAAGAAAGAAAACATAAAGCAGTGTCATCACAGTACAACACCATGTGGAAAGAATTGGATAAATGCCAGCTAATCCTTGAAAGAGGAAATAAACCAGTTTGTTTGGCATTCCCATAATGTAATGGTACAAATATGATAGGATTGACTCTAATCAGTGATGCCCAAAGGAACTTTTCATATCGCAATACTTACTGGTAGTGTATCTGAGACATGCCCAGCTTGGCCAAGGGTACCTAAACAACAAAACAAAAACTGATTAAAATAAATCACACTCGTGCTGTTTGAAAGAAAGAAAAACCCTTACTACTCTCACAATAACATGCATGTTGAATTGATCACTAAAATTGGCTTGTTAGTAACCAACAGAGATTAAGTGATTCAATAACAGAACTGGCAATTACTTTGTAACAAATGAAACGACAACCTAACCGTAATCAACTCAACGATTAAAAAATGAGCAATTACAGTGTAGTAGAATTCAGGGTTCATGAATGATAATCCTCCTGGTTCTAAGTGAATCAATCAGCATTGACCATATTTCTTCCACTCAAATTCAGCAGCTCAGTGGATCTTTCTTTTTTTATTTTTTTCATGGTCTAAGTTCTCCACAGTACATGTCCTTATTGCATTATAAAACTATAAATTAAAATACAAAAGCAAAATATATGACCTTTTGTTACTTCAAAGAGAATTTTATCAACTTCTTCCTGAGCAGCCTCCTCCAGATCATCATCTTCTAATACTTCAAACGTGTCTTCTAACATCTCTTCAATTATACCAGCCTGCATGGAAATAGGTTTAATGTAATTGAAAACACATGTTAACCCTTTAAGTCCTACTAGTGACCTAGACAGAATTTATCCTTACAATATCAAGAATACAATATCTACCAGATAAGTGATGAGAAAAAAAAAATATCAATTTGGGGATAATTAATTGATCCAATACTAAATTCTCTGAACTAACATTATGAGAATTGTATGGTTGACAGTGAGGAGAATTACAAATTTGATCTAGGCCTAAAAGGGTTAACAGTTACCACACTGTCAACTCTAAGTTTATAAATAAATATAGCATAATGTAAATCTAGAAGAAATGCAAAGGTATGAACAGCATCTAGAGCAATGCATACCTGAAACCACATACTTTAGAATGTGATTGGGAACTGACAAATTCTAGTCAAATTAAAATCATAAATCTAATGAAAGAAACTATTCTGTTATGTCTCTATAAATAGAAACCTTCCCTCAAGTTCAAAACAACTTGAAGTTTGTAAGCATGCACCAATAAATGATATACTGTTAATGTGCATTGCTCTCAGTTTGCTTGCACAGCTTCTTTGTCTTCTTCTGCACATACCTTCATCATTTCTTTAGACATTTCATTCATTGTGGCCTGTATCTCTGGCACTTTCACCAGTTGCTGCATATATTTCATCACCTCACTACTCTTTTCTAGGGAACCAGCCATTCGCAATGTAGCTGAGAAAAATGAGTACAAGTAGTGAAATTATTTTTTAATATATGATAAGTATTCTGTAAGTCACTAATCATAATATATTCTCTTGTTATTCAAACAAGCTCGTGATAAGGAACCAGCCATTCAAAGTGTAGCTGAGGAAAATGAGAAGTATGGTGTCTTCCATTATAGAACCAAATACAACAGAGCTGAAATTTTACCAGTATATAAAATTCTACCACAATGATTGAAATTAATACTTGGTGCAAATTTCAAGTCAGTTTCACATAGTAATAAATACAAGATTACATTCATAGAACTTGTTTTTGTACAAAAGCAAAAGAATGTCAATTCTTGCAAGAATGACACAGAAAAAGATCATCACTCATTTTTCAGTGATGCTTCCCTCTGAAATCTGAAATACAATTCATGTACATGTACATCTGGAACTGTTTTATTTTAGTTACCTTCCTCATACTCACAAAAAAATTCAAAAATACAACCACCCTTGCAAAAGAGAAAAACTAATTCAATCTATAGAGAAGATGAAATTTAGTCAATGTTGATACACCTTTTTCTATGCACTAGAAATAAAAAACTCAATTTACTTCCTTACAGAAAATTTATAGTCTCAGTACCCTGGAAAACTGCTACATATAGCTAACCCTGGAAAGTTGACAAAGGTTTTGCTCACACTCAGGGTATTAAAATGACTCACCCAACTGGTTCTTCATGCTCATCTCTACAGAGTTCAACTGTGCTTTAGAGGAATATATTTTGTTGACAGCTTTTCTAGATCTTATAATTTCTTTGGCCAATATCGTACAAACATCCTTGTGCCCTTTCTTTGCAGCATCATTGAGAGACCTTTTAGCTTTTTCTTCCTCTCTTTGAATGGCTGCAAAAACAATAATGCATCATGTTTTCAAAAACAATTTCCAATGGTTAAATTTAGTGGTGAATGGCTAGGAATACCTCATTGACATTTTCTGCATATCAAATTTAAAAAAGATCAAGTTTGCACTAACCTCTGATTTGTCTGTCAAGAGCACGACCTTCTTTCCTCAAGCCTCTGCACCATTCTTGTACCTGTACATTGTAAAAAGACCAAGTTACACTGTGTATTGACACTGATTTTTGAGCCAGTCACTTCAAGGTTTATTCAATTTTTTCTGACCAATTTTTTTCTGCCTTGTTTTGGTAGCTGATAACAAATGTTAAATTTTAAAAATTATTAATACCAAATGTTGTTCTGCTCCAAGTCTCCAAGGTTAGCAGATTTGCAAAGAACTCTGCACTTCAGGATGAGTATCTGCAAGATGTGTGTGGTGTTTGAAGGACTCCTGCCCCAACCTTATTAACTTACCAACAATTTTGCAAGATAAGAATTGATTTTGATTTTTCACTGTTAAAGGGTTCACCTGGAACATTCCAAAACCAATTTGAATTTTAATAATGTTCTCCCTGTTCAAACAGAACATTGTTTACCCACCATAAATGGTAAGTTAAGGATTTTAGTGGCACAGATTAGGGCAATAACTTAGCTCAAATTACATGATGCATAATTATAAAACATGTCAGACACATAAATGCAATATTCCTGAATTGTTAAACAGACACAACTGCCTAAAGTACACATTCAACATATTGTCATATGTCTGTAATGGCCATTTGGGGGGTCTACTACTTCAACCCTTTTAGGCCCCAGATTTACATGTAACTTCTCCTTACAAAATCCATACACTGTCCAACAGGCAGGTAATGAGATTACTCAAACTTATCAGTTAGAGGTTGCTATCATGATATAACACCAAATTCTTGTAACTAAATTACAAGGAAATGTGTAACAGCTAGATGGGAGAATTAACAATCAGATCTTGGGAGTTAGAGGGTCAAGGATTTCGGTCTTCTTTTGCAAAGACTTCTCATGAATTTGGATTACTTTAAAGCTTGTTACTAAGATATGTAAATCATTCTGTCCAATTAATGAAAATTATAAAAGTTGAGAGTTGATAGTTTGGTCATTCTGACCTCAAAGTATCTTCCCTCCTGTTCTTGAATGCAACCATGGAAGCTACATGTACGAATAGAATTAGACATGCATTCAGCTACATTTACTTTATTTACAGGATTACACCAGTTTAGAGGATTTTCATAAACCCTAACAAGTACAGGGCTTGTCAGGTAGGAAGCCATCACTGTTGTTTCAGGCAAAAGCATGGACCTCATGTTAGAAAATATTTACTACTCGCTTTAAATGCTTCAATTTGCTTTGCATCCTATTTTCTTTGCATAGTATTCATTATCTTTGTCTGAATCAAAAGAAAATAAAAATTACACTTAATTAAAAAATTTCAAAATACAAAGTAGATAACAATTTGCATGAACAACTGCCTAAACACTGCATACCTTCTGAGCACTACATGTCAAGTGAGAGATCACTAATAAAAGATTACAGTGATGTGTAATTGGATGTAGTGCACATGTACTGTAGGTTAATATTAGTGAGTACACCTGAAAGTGTAAAGATCATTTTTAAATCAGTAGCAAGTGAATATGTAATATTTTGATACAAATTATCCTGGATCAATTGCAGAACTACCAATCACTTATATCCTTTCATTCCCAGGAGTGACCTGGAACTAATCTCTCTGTCCAATGGTTTTATCAATACACTATCTAGCAGGCAGGTAATGAGAATAAGGGTAAATGTCAACAAGGGAATTCATTTGATCCAACACCAAGTTCTTAAAAGTAACAATTTATGGGAATTCTATTATAGCCAGTTAGGAGAATTACTCTTGAGATCTTGAGAGTGAAAGGGTTAACACTTTAACCCCTAGGAGTAACTAGCATCTAATTTCTTGTTACAATATCACCCATAACATACACATTAAGGTCATGAACATAAAGGACATGATCACCATTTAAAGAAGCTCTTGATTGTTAAACAAATTCTCCTTGTGAGCACCAAGTCATGGTTGGCAGAGAGATGTATAAAGAACAGTAAGGAGGATATGCTTAATGAAGTTAAATTGTAAAGGCCTAAGAAACTTCAATGTATCAGTGCTAGAAACTACCACAAATAGGTGTATGTATATGTATCATTTCTTGTATGAAGGATCTTGGTATCAAAAAAGACCTTAATCAGAAAATTCAATACCTCTGGTATAAATATTGTTGACAAAGTAAGAAGTCCTATCTGTTCTTAATCATAATCAGTAATCTACAACACTTGAACTACATTGAGGGCCGTCATCATAGAGTGGTCACTGTCAGTTACTTATAATTATCTCGTAGTTTAGTTTGCAAATCACATATCTTCAAAAGCCTCGTATAAATTAACATTGGAGTTTGAATTATGTCCCATAAGTAACGTTCCGTGAAGTTGACGATCGCAAAGAAGCTCCGTTGCTTTCACTGGTGTAAAAATCGAAGTTGTCAGTTTCATTTTGAAAACTCAACATGCACTGTACTGCATGCATTATAAGCGAGTATCTTATCGTCTGCAACGGGCTTGGAGCGTGGCGATACAAGTGTTCATTCAGATATTTCATCTCCCTCTAACACTTTGTAATCGAAAAGAAAAAGCACATACGGATTTTGCTTGCCAATATTAAGCTGAAGTAAATAACAAGTAACATATAACATTTAATGTGATGTTCCTCAGTAGCTCTAGCATAAAAGGATCGTAAACGTACGTAAAACTCCATATAAGCTAACAAACCTGTTCTTTTGGTGCTTTCTGCGGGGTTTGTCCAAACAATCCCATCGTAGTTTTCAGCAAAATAAGAAGAAATGTTTAGAAATGGAACGAGTATCGTTCATTTCCCCGTAGTTTCTTAAAATAGCAAATTTTGGACTCGTGACGTCACGGCTGTAGTCGATTGCGGTTCGGAAGGAAACGAAGCGTGCAGCGAGCAATTATCGACAGAATTAGTGGCATTGCCTAGTGGCACGACATGGCGGCTGCTTCGATCTTCAAAGATGTTCCTGGAGTTCCTACAGATCATGTTTTCTGTGTCAATCAGATGTACAAAGATGACCAGAATCCCAATAAAGTCAACATGGGAATTGGAGGTAAAATCTTACTTTAAAAATTAGACGAGGCATATGAGCAGATCCTGTTCAAAGTTATTAATATTCATTAACGGTCTGCTAATTGTAAGTTAGTTCGATATGGTGTCTTGGGTTTATTAATTTTGCTTCTCTGCTGATTTATCAAGCTTATCGCGACAAAGATGGAAATCCAATGGTACTACCAGTGGTTTTGAATGTTGAGAAGCGACTCGCTGAGGAAATCGCATCGAAAATTCTAAATCATGAGTACTTATCAATCGATGGTCTAAAGTCCTTTTGTGATGCGGCTAGCAGACTGCTTTTGGGAAATGACAGCCCTGCGCTGGCAGAGAATAGGGTAGGTTTGATACACTTAGCATAAATTATCTCCTCTCTTTATACCACGGGAACTAGGGCTTATAAAATGATGAAGATCAGCTCTATTATGTAATTGGCGGCCATCGCCTCGTCTGTCTGTTTGTTTGTTTGTTTTTTTATAGCGGGCGCGGGGGGCCTAAGCAAAATTTGTCAGTAGGGAGGCCCAATATCAGCATTGCGGGCATGTAAGATCTTTTGGGTTGTTTTAGTGCTACCAACTGAAAGTTTTTTTGTTCACACAAAGTGTAGGTTTAGAGGAGTACTAAAATTATCAAACCCTTGAGACAGGAAAACACTTTAATATAGTTAACCCTTTCACTCCCAAGATCTCATTTGTAATTCTCATTACTGTCTGTTATATAATTCTTGTGATGTTAGTTTGGAGAATTTGGTATTGGATCAACTAATAATCCCCTAATTAATATTTTTCTTTATTCTCATCACTTGTCTGCTTGATATTGTAAGGAGAAATTCTGTCTTGATCACTCATGGGACTTGAAGGGTTAAGACAGCTTATGCCTGGGAAACTATTGTTGTCACAAAACTTTCCATGAAATATGGATTATCTTTCTGTGAGTTAAGCACTGATCATGAGGTATGGATGATCATTTTTAACTATTGTCGATAGAAGGTGTGGCAGTGTCTTTGGAGTGGGTGGTAGTTGAGGTGCTGGCAGTGAATACCATGTCGTGATTTTGTACGATGTCATTGTGAAATAAGAGAATGTGTTATTAAGATTGACATCTTTGAAGGTGTGTTGCCTAGATTTGTTTCTCATTAAGCACTACTGACAACAAAAGTAGGTTTATATTACAAGAAAAAAGAAATCAATTGAGACAAAAGATAAAAGTGAACTGGTCTTCAGTCAGAATAATTGCGAAAATGAGAGAGGGTTTGTTGTTCTAATGAAATCAGTTAACAACAATCAAGTGTTTCATAATGTTTCAACAAGCCAGATTGGTCAACTGAAAAGCTCAGGCTGGTGATTGAGACATGCCTGATATGACAACATGAATGATGTATAAACCCTGCAAAGCATCTTAATTAATTACACCACTAAAGCTTAGTAAATACAATTTAATATCAATCGTAAGCAAAATTTTAGAGAGGTTTATGCATCAAATCTTGACATGTAACAAGAACAAGTGCTAGTCTACCCTGGAAAAATTGAATTTAACATATACTACTTCTCTTCAGCCATACAATTCAGTCATGCCTTCTTTTCTCTCTAGTTAGTTGCCAATTACATTTTTTTGGAGCCACTAGAGACTAATAATAATAATAATAATAATAATAATAATAATAATAATAATAATAAAGGCTTTATTACAGTGTATCCATAGAATGGCTCTTCACCCGAATAAACTAAGTTAATCTACACTAAAACACCAACTTATTCATGATGATAATATACAATTAATAATTATAATACAAAGCATTTGTAATTAAGAACGAAGCAAATTATGATAGACAAGATTTCAAAAAAGTAAAGGCGTGTTTTGAAAATGATTTGCTGTCCACACACGATTTTGTCCCTGAAGGCAGCGTATTGAAGATCCAGGCAGCAGTGTCCTAAAAAGTATTACTACTAAGTCCTTATGCTCTCAGTTAATCTAGTTCAGCTGGGGTGTTGACCTTGGGATTTTAGAGAAATCTGAGAAAACAGTACTGTAAGGAATAGGCATAACAGGTTTGATGAATTTATTTTGTTGGCAATACTAACTTTTATTTAATATAAACTTCATGAAAAACAAAGAAAAGAATGAACTGACCTCAATAAACTCAACTTATTGATCATCAGATGCCCAGGTTACCTTTCAAGATTGTTGCATGCACTTTTTCTTTTTTTCCCAATAACCTTTTTGCCAACATCTGTATACGCGTAATATCTCACACCAATGCTTCAGTGCTAGCACTATTCTCTCTTGTTTGTATCCTAGTGCTGGAAGAACTTTTTTGTCTTGAAATGTTATATTCATCTCTTTGGACAGGTTTGTTCAGCTCAGGCGATCTCTGGCACAGGAAGTCTTCGTCTCGGGATGGAGTTCTTGAAGAAATTCTACCATTCAGAAGTTATCTATGTCTCCAATCCTACATGGGGTGAGACTTTCTTTTTATTAATAATTTTTAAATGTGATTTTTATGTTTGTGCTGATGATGTTTCGTGTTGGCAACAGTAGTGTAGAGGTGACCACTAAATGGAGTTGAAAATTATAGTGATTAAGGAAAACAAGTTCAGGACGTTGACAAACGACCACTTAATACAGGGTGACTGCTTAATAAGATGCTGCTTAATACAGGTTCAACTGTAATGTACTTTTTCCATGGGAACAGTATTGCAAGGGCTTCACTTAAACACCCGCCTACTTTGTTATGGAGAGTAACTTTTACTCCTGGAAAGTATAGGAGCATTGATAGACAAAAGTACTTAATAAATTGTTTTACAAGGGCTCAATGCCAACAATCACCTGCTCTTCGTTGGAGGGGATGTTTAACTCCTGGAAAGTAAAAATGTATGCAGTGTGTATGAACCAGATTGAGAATCTTCATTCAGTCCAGGAAGATAACAATTGGCCATGATAGAAAGCAAATTTCTCCTTTTAAAGGGTTCAAGTGAAAATTAATGTATGAAAAAACAAAACAAAATATGATACATTTTTTTGTTATATCTTTCAAAAAGGCCTCTCCTAGTGTTTCTGAGTAAACACTGATTATCAGGCTGGGACACTCTGAAAAATTGCATGGCTTCTGGGAACAAGAATAAGCCATTTACAGCCCTCTAAAGCAAACAAAGCACATTCTTATGTCCTTCCTTGATAGTGGAGACCTTTATGGAAAGACTTTTAAAGAGAAGGTCTACTTGGCCACAGATATTGCAAAAAGTGTCATGGCTATTATGTTGGAAGCACATCCAAACATTCATGATCATCACTCCATCTCCATATTGGAAGCCCAAGTGAAGCCCTTTTATCTCTAATTCAAGTACACACAAATGTTTAGTACTTGTGCATCATAACATTTTGCTCCATTTAAGTTACACTGTAGGTTTTTCTTTGATAAGAAATATCACTTTTAGTGCAGTGAAATTCTGATGTCTACTACAATTGTGTTTGTCTTTCACATGTTTGTAGGAAACCACAAGAAGATGCTCTTAGCCACTGGTTACAAGGCTGAAAACATCAAGGATTATCGTTACTTTGATAAAGCAACAAAAGGTTTGGATTTCCAAGGCATGTGGGAAGATTTAGAGGTGAAAATGCAACATAATAATTTTTGTGCTATAGAAACTAAAGTTATAGATAGAGCATTTTTTTTTATCTTAAGAGGGAAGAGGTTGGGGTCTTAGATGGTAAAATGCTTTGAGAAAAGTAAAGAGCAAATAGCAGACTAGTGTGAACAAAGTTGAAAGTTAAGTATTAGGGACAGAGTTGCATGGAAAGGTCTGTTCAGACCTTTCTGGCAATTCTCTGGGTTACTGAAACAACTTTGAACAAAAATTATGTTCAGTGCATTTTTAGCTACAGTGCAAATGTAAAGTATGTATTAGGAACTGTGCAAAACTACTTGCGCATCTCAACATCAATTCTGTCGGAAAGAAAGACATACTCTACTATAAATGAACTTAGATGGAAGAAGATGGCTGAGAATTAAGTTGAATGAACTTCAAAAACTTATCCTCTATTTTGCTACCATTGTTTTTTCCAGAATGCTCCAGATAACTCAATAATCCTGCTTCATGCCTGTGCACACAATCCAACTGGAGTAGATCCCGACCAGGAACAGTGGCAAAGGATTGCTGAGATAATGAAGGTATTCTAAAGTACTTATTCACATATTAATCAGGTGTCCCAAATAGTTTAAAACTAGTCATTACACATTCATATCAAATACATGCCTATGTAATTGGGATGAATATTTGATGCTTAAGCTGTTCAGTGTGTTGTGCTTCTGTCAGGGAACGTGGATGGTACAGCTGGTTAAGAGAGCTTGTGCCTTGTTATCCTATCAGTCAGCTCCCCTGGGTACTGTGGTACAACTTGTACTGGGTACTTGGTACAACCCCCCCCCCCCTTAAAAAGAGTTTTTCAAAATTTTGAATTGATGCTTTGAAGAAACACTCCATTGCTGCGTCTCTTCTTATTCTTATGTTACTTCATAGTTTAATAGTTACTTAATGGTGCATTTGGTTTTTTTTTACTTGTTTCCAGAGAAAAAAGCTGTTTCCTTTGTTTGACATAGCTTACCAAGGATTTGTGTCTGGTGACCCTGATGAGGATGCTTGGGCTGTACGCTACTTTGTTAGTCAAGGATTTGAAATGGTCATAGGACAATCATTTGCCAAGAACTTTGGATTATACAGTAAGTGCTTGTGGCAGGCGGTTGACTGTGTTTTAGAAAAAGGAATGATGGTGTACTGAAGCTGGGCATGTATTTGTGAAAACAAAAAGATACAAATGTAATTGATACCTTCGTAATTTCACAGTGCCAGGTATCAATGCAGGGATACTCTGATGTGTGGCTGTTAGGCAATAGCCTGGTTTACCCCATCTTAGGCGACACTTGTTGTGGAATGAATTTTAAAGCTATCTTTGCAATAATGAGTACCACTTTAGCAGTAGTGAAAACAAGACCTGAAAAAAATTCAGGCCTGTATGGAATTTGAACCTATGACCTCTGGGATACTGGTGCAGTGCTCTACCAACTGAACTAACAAGCCAACTGGGAGCTGGTCATTATGTTAGTTGGTAAGAAACCCATGACAAATAGTGACTGTAAATATATATGAAATCATGTATGTGAACTGTTGTTCACAGCAGCAGCCAGCTGAAAATTGTTCATTGGCATATGCTTCCCTATGAAATGTGAATAGGGGAAAACATGAATAATGAAATGGCCTTACATGTATGACCCAGGGCTTAAAGGGGTTTTTTGAAGATAGACATAGGTTTATGTAATTACCTTAGAAACAGCTTTTGATGGAAGCTAAAAGAAAGATTACTATTTAAACACTGAAAATATAAATTTTAACTAAAGTATTTGTTCAAAGCTGCTAGTTTTCCTTTGCAGATGAGAGGGCAGGTCATACATGTGTGGTGACAACAGATAATGAAACAGCTGAACGTATCCGTAGCCAGCTCAAAGCAATCATCCGCCCAATGTGGTCAAATCCACCCAATCATGGTGCACGTATTGTAGCAACCATACTGAACAACCCAGCCCACGCTGCCGAATGGTAAGAACGATCTGTTAGCTGAGAGCCAAAATTTCATCACTGTGATTGTTAATTCATTTTTTCTCACGTGGATCAATTTTCTCGTTACTTACATTGACAAGGAGGAAGGGGAAGATTTTCTGGGAGTCTGGCACTAATTAGCAGTGCCAGATTCCTTCCAGTTTTGCCAGAAATCTCTGGTGATTTACCAAAAGGACATTTTTTATTTCAGATATGTTAATTTATTTGATATTTTGTAACTTTTAGGCGTGAAACTTTAAGGACGATGGCTGGGCGTATTTTAGAGTGCCGAAAACTCCTTTACAACAAGCTGAAAGAACGTGGAACACCAGGAACGTGGAACCATATTGTGGACCAGAAGGGAATGTTTGGATTTACAGGATTGAATGGTGAGTGGTTTTGTTATATGATTGCATGGTTTGCATAAATGGAGACTTCTGCAAACCTTTGGTTAAGGTTATGAGTTAAGTGTCCCATTGCTATTGGAACCTGTCCCACTTTTACTTGTTTTTTTTCTTTCGTTGTTGTTGTTGTTTTTTTTTTCCGCATGAAAGGAGTAGGGTGCTCTAACTGGAAGTCTGTAGTTCTAAAAGTCTAAAAGTCTACCTAAGCCGTGGCGCATACAGTCTGGAATACCAGTCCATCGCAAGGTTACTCCTCAGCTTTCTCTCAGGTTTCCCAGACAATCCACTGGTCCCATTTGTATTCCTGGGTGGAAAAAGGCACTGTGAGAGGAAATTGTATTGCCCAAGAACACAACACGGTGGCCAATTTACATTATCAACTACATGTAGTTGATAAAACCAAATTATATATTGAAAGAACTTAAAGGCAGAACTTCCTTAGTTAAGATAATTTGATAAGTACAATTTTTCAAGGGAGTTGTCAGGGGCTGTACAGGTTACAGGTTCTCTTTGCTGATATCTTCAGCGAACAGTTTTTCGTAGCTCTTCTTTAGGTTTGCTATCTAAGTCAATCAAGAAGTGGTGAACTCGAACCTTCATGAACATCAGTTAGCGCGCGCAATTTAAAATGTCACTGAAAAGAGTTTTCAAAAAATTTTTATTATTGTTCCTGTGAAGGTACAAGAATTTCCTTTGTTATTCGTGATTGCATTCTTCATGATGCAGCAATTCACCATTTTGACATCAAGGAAGATGTCTGGCAACGTTTAAGGGGAGTTAAAAAGGTTTCATGGCACACCAGGAAGTCCTGGTAAATCTAGATTATCTACTGCGAGACAATTTTCAGGGGGGTTTAACTGAAGTGCCAGTAGAAACAAGCGTGATTTCAAATGATCATGTTGTGTTTCTCTGCAGTAAAACAAGTGGAATTCTTAGCCAAGTCTTACCACATCTACCTGCTGAACAGCGGACGGGTAAACATTTGTGGGATCACTCACCATAACGTCGACTACATCGCTGAGGCGATTCATGAAGCTGTCACCACAGTTACCGACTGATCAAGTCTATAGCTTTTGGTTGCTGGTTATTTTTGTTGTTGTGAAAGCTAATCTGTGTGAAACCTGCGTGCGTGCTGACACATCATTCACGCCAGTGTGAAATCGCCCAAGAGGTACTCGTGTGAATGGATAAAGCTGACAGTCATCTCATAATTTAACGATTTGTATTTACAAGGGACAACGTTTGTCAATCAGACAAACTGAAATGCGGTGTGATCACTTATATTTTAATCGTCCGGTCAATTGTGGCTGATTTTATTTACAAAGGAGGGTCTCATTTGTATTAAAATTTCCCTACTGGATGAAATATCAATAAACCTTTCACCTTCAATACAAAGTTGTTATAGCCATTGTCAGGGCGGAGCCTGTAGGCCGTTCAGTGATTTGATGCAGGATAAGTGTTGTGATAAGTTTTGACTCCAAAAAACCCACTTATTATAAGAGTGCAAAAAGGACAGGGTGAATGACATGCGGAGGGAACGTGCGTTACCTCCATGAGAGCTCTTCTTGTGCAAATACAAATGTTTGGAGAAATAGTAAATTTTCCAATTTGTTCAGGCAATTTCTTACGCGAAACTTCGTTAATTACCATGACTCTTGCTCGCTCAATTTTAATCTTACCAGCTCATGAGCATAAATGTTACCTATTAGTTCAATAGAAATAATATTCAGTAATTATCTTATATTCACTTCGTGTTTGCCACAATAAAAACATATCGCGTTTAACTGAAAAATGCTCATGAAATAACATTGCCGTGGGCACATTGTTCTCATCATAAGAATCTTTTTACGCCCTGAAATATGTGGTCGTCATGTTGAAATAAAAAGACGTACACATCAGTAGATTTGTAGGTTCCTCGTGAATCCTTTCGTAGTGCTTTGTTCCCTGTCAACAACATCTCTGCACACAGTTTCGGGCACTCTCAGTCTCTTGTTGGCGAGACATGCCTTTAAGTTAGCTCATGAATAAAAAAAGTCCAACGTAGCCAGCTAGACAATCAAATTGTTGAAACCGGCATTTTACCCTCATCATATAAACAAATTCCCAAATTTCATAATGTAATAGTTGTAATTACCATAGTTGGCCTGGATTGGTTGTGAGCGCTCCAATCAAGCATGTTAAACATACCCGAACAAAGAGAAAATCACAGAAATCACAATGAAAACCTTGGTTGATGTTAGCAAGGCAGTAGCGTTACATAAATCGTAGTCGCAGCAAGTGATATCACAGTTTTCGGCTTGGCCAATGTACTTGCAAGCCACTGTGTTACAAAAATCTGCTACAAAACATCCTCGCTCATAAACATCAAACCTTTTTCCACGGATGTCGAATGTTGACCTTGTCTTGGCGCAAACATCTAACCATGGCTCACAAACGTATTTTGTTCGACTTGCATCACATTGAGTCCAGTTCGAGGAAGAATAACATGTATAACACGTCAAAGATAAACCTAAAATAATAATTTAAAAAAACTCAGTAAGCAATTTGATCCTCAAAATATGGAAACGTCGAGACCTAGAAAATATTTCCAAGACAAAAAACAGAAAAGGAAAAGCCTATGAAGAGAATTCCGACATGGATTCTTCAAATATCATAGGATATATCTCCTCTCTAACGTAAGGTTAGATTCTCATTACCTGATCATGGTAAATCTATACTGACCAGTAAGGTGAACACACATATCTCGCTCATTTAGTGAAGTTATGAAAACGGCCACCTGCCTTCGTTGTGACAGTTTTTAGAGTATTCAGGTTAATATGGACAGTTTAAAACTAACATGCAAATTTGGCTGAAGCGTAAACAAATTTTTATTTCATCGCATCTATGCATCAATATACAAAAAGTGGAATTGACTTCAATATCCCTATGTTATCTTGAATTTTTGAAAGATGAGATCTTGTAAGAGACAGTGAGTAAGGTGATATCTGGTGCTGGTGTGAAAATAACGGTCGTGAGCCTGGATAATCTGCATCAGTATCACCCTCAGTTTTGCATCCGAGATAAAAACTTGCTCCGTAATTATGATTAAAGAGTATCGACCTCAGCAAAGGTCTTCCACATGGGCATCATTACTATTTAGCTGTTGAAATCATACCTTAAGCCATATCGATTAACTGACCAAGACGTATTATAAAAGGACAGTTATTAAGTTCCTTACAAGCTATTATTTCGACAACATGCTGTTAATCTCTGTGGTAGACTCTTCAATCCCCACGGAATCTCCATTAAACATGTATTTATGGGTTTTAACAAGCCTTGACTCCAGTGTTAAGTGGCATGAGAAACATAAAGTGAAGCTATCATTTAACTGTTCCTTCGAGTAGGTAGAGATTGTTCTAGGCCGGCTTCAGCGCTTAAAACCGATAAAGAAAAAAAAACAGTCCTTCGATGTAGATTAATTAAGTGATGAAGGCTTACACTTTACCTTGTGCATTTGGAGAATTAAAAAAAAGGTAATATGGTGCAACCTCCATGGTCGCGACCATCTAGGTTTTTGTATTAAAATGCGGAGCTGTTATAACCTTGAAATTCTCTTCACAGTGCGAGAGTTACATGTCCGTCCTTTACATATTTATAAAGTAAGTCTTTCATTCTCGATCTTTATTCTATTACTTACCAACTTGTACTGTCGCCGAAAAGAAAACATATTTAACCAGGTCATGCATGTTAACTTGTGAGTAGAAATTTCTTCTTCTTTCTTTCACGGTGAATATTGAAACCGTTTTGACAACGCCTAACACTGCGAGGTCTCCTGACCCATCAATCCTTGCGCAGTATTTTCGGAAGAAAGTCGTCGTTGCTCGTAGCAGATAATCGTACCCGAAGAATTTCCGACGAATGCTATTGGATAAGCAGACTCTTGAACATGTTTGTCGGAGGAGTTTATTATACTCTAACGCAATTAGCCACCAATTGCATAGACAAGAAACAAGGAGTGGGAAATCACCACAAGCACTTTAAAAACATAATGAAAACATTAAATAAAAAGGGAAGAAATATTCTTCGCATTGTGGGATTAAATAGCTCAGTGCGGGAACATGAATGATGAAACTAATCCCGAGTTCTAATTGGCCACCTAAGCGAGCAAGATGAACTATCTTGGAACACAAGTAACACAACACCAAATAAAATCTAAGTTGACCAGAATATTCGTTATAGAGTGCTGTGTTATGTGTCAGACTTGTAAATAAACAAGAAGGAATTCGACTTTTAAATTTTTAATGTGACTTAAACAGAAGAGTATTGTTACCTAACAATCATCAATAACCCCTTACTGACGTTTTATACAAATGAGTTTATCTGTTGTTTTGTGAAACTTAATTATTCGCCCATGGGGAAACTTTTAATAGAAGCGGCAGATGATAAGTTTCTTCCCATGCAACAGCCATCTTCATTTGCCATCAAGCCTTTTTTATGAATGAATTTCGAATGCATTATGGATAAATTTTAGACAAAATTTTTTAAATTTATTGTAACATTATTTTTCGTTCTTGTCAACTAAACTCCAAACGGTCGTTAATGCAAATAATAATCAAGGTGGGTGCATAGTTATTGTATTTGTGTTGTTAGATCAAAACAAATTTAACACTTTTATATTTGACATCGCTCTTCAACTGTTAGTATAAAGCTATGGTGCGTAACAGCGCAAGTTAACAGTACATCGGTAAGTAACCGTAGAAAATCAACTTTTTCTTGCGACGTCATGATTTGTAAGTTTTTGCATTAAACATTAAACAAAAGTAGGAACCTAAATTAAATACTATAACTTACTCACGGTATTAACTTACATTTGAAAATCAGCAAAAGAATTCGATCGTAACTGAACGAACTTATGTATGGTGACATAACACTTAACTCTTTCCAAACTACTTTGCCTTCGTTTACAAGAGTTAACGTCTTTTTTTATTATTATTCCCGTCTCTTGGGTCTTTTGTAAGAATGCGGACTGAAAGTTCATTCTAAAACTCATCATTTAATCAGAATTATCCTTGATGTTTTCCAAAAATACTCGCCCTCTTCTAGAACGTCTTTGAATGGCAGTAGCGTACAGACGCTATATTACTATTAGTTTGCGATGATATCTTATATATATATATATATATATTTGAAAATTTTAATCAAGGATTTATTTAGTTTATGGTTTCGTTTCTCTTAGTTCTAACAAAAGAAATTGGCCATCAGCTTAAAACTGCCATGTCCTCAAGGTATCGGAATGATTTATGGAACCAGAATGCTTGTGTGCTTCTTACACTTTTGTACATGGTAAGATTTAGTTATATCTATTTTCGTGAGGAATTAAGCGATGGCCTTACCTGATTACACAAAATGAAATTCAATTTGGATTCGCTGAATCCAAAACTGTTAACTCACCGGCAGCTTTCTCTGCCCTAAATAAAAGTTTAAGTCAATTATATCCCGAATTTGACTAGATTACTCGAGTATTAGAAGAGTTTCAGCGCAAAAGTTTATCAGACTATGCTTATGTTATATGTTATAAATATTTTATTATCATCGACAAGGTCAAATCACCCTCGTCGCTCTGAAGTCAGCATGTGACCTCTGTAGTTTAGTGTTAACAGTAAGTACTTATTTTCATGATGCTTGCCGTCAACAATCTGGGAATGTTAAGGGTTATATCTTGATAGGAGGTATTTTGGAAAGCCTCTAGAACGGTATGTTTCACAGTATGTAGAAATGACCCGTCAGGGCTTTAAGCATTGCCTTCTTCAAAACGGCAGGTATATAATTCTAATGTTACGCAAGGTTAGAAGGTATCTCAACGATAGAATGTCTTTTATGGTCTTTTGCAGTTCATCGAAAGTGGAAGTGCTTTTCAATTTACTGGTAACTTTCTAACTGTATACAAAATATTAAATATCCATAATGAGTAATCTTTCATGAGAGAGGAAACGGCATTTAAGGCAAAAGCTTAAGGCGATGGAAAATGATGAGAGGAATTCATGGTCTCTAAATAAAGGGCGTTATGTCATCTTTAAACAATAAACTGAACTTGCAACAGGTGCTCAATGACTGATTTTTGCCAATCATCTTTAAGAGCACTGACACAAGGCTGGCGTCAAGGAAAAACGCTTTCTTTGTCTCGTTCAAAGAGGTTTATATTTTATAAAATAATTGCGAGACTTTTGAAATTAAATCAAGAGTAGATCCCATTAAGTTTAGCAGGAGCTGTTAACAACCCCCCCAAAATGGAACAAACCTTTAAACACTTAAGCGCCACGAGGCTGTTGATCATATCAGCCAAATCAATTTCCGATGGAGAGTATCTCGATGCCATTATGGGTCAAAGAAGATCGCACGAATAATTGCGATGAGATTATCAGTAACAAACTCGCTTGCAGCTGATCTGCCGGCCCTTGTTTATTTAGCGGGGAGCCCACAAAAACTGGTTGAGAGTTTGAACATTTCAGTCCAAGAAATGGTTGGAAATTTCGAAAGACTTCTCAACACAGTGTTAAATTGCGATCAATATTCTTGGGTGTTATCGAAAAAAAGGTTGATATTACATGGAATTCTAGTTTGCTGCCGAATCCTTGAAATGACAAAAATTCGTCGTCCTCAACACAGAAGCATAGAGCATTCCAAGTGAAATCAATTTTATTATGATAATAATGGGAAATACTCTTATCGATCTAATCTGGTGATATAAAGGCTTTGCAACATATTAATACAGCTCTGTTTATTCTCCGTTTGTCTGAGTTTCCTGAGGTTTGTTCCTAAGGTATAACTTATGTGTTAAATCTCATTCAAAGATTTTGACATTATTTATTGTCAAACTGAACATGCGCAGTCCGGAATGTCTGATTGTTTCATCCATTTTAATGAAATTTGTTCTCAGAAAACTGTAACTCTGCATTGGGAATGGAAAACTTTGAAATCCCTTCAGAATCTCTTCAAGCCTCCAGATCAACGGCGTACTGGGAATACTATAACGCCAGAATCAACGATTCAGTAAGTGGCTGGTGTGTCGGTAAAGTTAGCGATCAGGAATGGCTTCAGATTCAGTTTAATGGCAATCATTACATCACTGCTGTGGCGAATCAAGGCACCCACAGAGGCTTTGTGATTGAATTCACTTTGGCTTTCAGCAGAGGACTGGATTGGTTCGACTACCACGAGAACGGCACTATCAAGGTCAGAGTCAAATCCTACTGTTAACAATCCGGCAATTAACAAAGCCTTTGTTAGCTCATTTAAAAGCAAAGGCAACAGCTTAAAGGTCATCAGGAGCCACAAGAGATCAACAGTCCAATCGGATATATGTTTTGGGTATCATTCTTTAGTGGGATTCTACGTGAGGTCCTTTTAGATTACTTTTAGGACAGAAGCCGTACCGTTATCTCTTTCATGTTGTAAAATGAATGACTTTATTTTGCTTTGTAATTCTGTATTCTCGACAGAAATTTATCCGCAATAATACAGCTGACAGAAGGGAAATTGTGATGAATAATCTCTCCTCTCCAATTATTGCAAATATGATTCGAATTTACCCCAAGCGGTCTATTGATGACACTTGTTTACGCCTCGAAATATATGGATGCCAAGGTAAGTAAGTAAAGCCAACCATGAAGAAATGATTAGAAGAAAGCGACATCAAACGAACTAAAAAAAATTATCTATGAGAGGGAAAAAGCATTCCGATTAAGTTGTTCTTTTCGTGTTATAGGTTCTTTGTAATGTAAGATTTTCTGTATCATTTTGAGATTAAGAAGAAAACTTAATCGTGTTTTGTTAGAAAACAATGTAGGATTGGTAAAAAAAAAGTTTTAAGAATACTAGATAACGAGAAGTCCCTATTTATCGGCACAGTCTGTCGCACCAGTAAAATAAATTGGCAAAAAAAAAAAAAAGAAGTTAGCGCACCGTGCAGAACTCTGGTAGCGAGATGTGTGTACTCCCAGAGCTTCTCACTTATTTTTTTTTCCTCCCACTACAAAAGTTCGCCGAAAAAGAGGGACTACCCGTAGTCCAACATTTTTTAAACTTATTTTTCTTTTGCGTGCGACACGTCTAGCAAGTGATGTCACAAAAATACATCGCACAGTGCTCACACCACAACACAATAGCTAGTCATTGAAAGGTCGTTAAAGAGTAATGTGGGTGGTTAGAAATCTTGCTTGGATACGATGAAGTCCGTTTCGTTGCAGCTTGTTTTAACCCATTTGGCATCGCGGATGACGCAATTCCTGATAAATCTATGACGTCATCGTCAAACCTTGGAGCTGGTTTTGAGGCATTTCATGGCCGACTGAACCGCGCGTCAGGTAATGGTTCCTGGTGTAAGGGAAAGCTTGATATATCGTCATATCTTCAGATTGATCTCGGAAACAGGTTTCAGGTCAGCATGATAGCCGTGCAAGGAAATCGTCTTTACGAGTGGGTAACTGTTTTGAAGAAAAAAATAAACTGCAGGTAAGTGAGTTTATTCTTTATTGCTTTTCTGTCAGTTAAACCGCTCTACCTCATGATTTTTGATGGTTCGCACATTTAACATACCTACTTCTTTGGTACGGCGGCATTTAAGGAGCGTTTGGTCCAGTCATGTTCCGTAATTTGTCGAGATGCAGTCAAGCCAAATTAAACATGGATACATCAGACAAACCTGATGTACCGCCAAAGCATACCAACTTGGACCCTTATCTGGTGATGTTCTTAGCGTGGCAGTTACGTTTAAAAAATCTGTCAGGTATTCTTGAGGGTGGCCCGCGGGGAGAATAGAACTAGTCAATAAATGGTGCCGTGACACGAATGCGTGACAGTACGAGTTTCCTTCCGGTACAGCGAGCAACGCGATGAATCGTGTATATACAAAAATTATCTGTCAAACCTTTCACTGCAACACTGCCGAGGGCATTTTAAAAACTAGAAAAATTCGGCAAATATTACTGCAAGTCTTATCTCGAGGGAACCAGCACATAAATAGTGTAGTTGTCTTCAACTGCATGCGTCCAGCCGTTTAAAGCCAGTTGAAGGAACTCTCGAAAACAGAGGTGAAGTTTACATTTATGTTGACATTTTCAACCGTTCCTGTACAAAAAGACCCCTCGGAGTTTCATTACTCTTCAATGAATTCTATGAAATGGTGGCGTTGAGCACATTGCGATGAGTTAGTTAGATGGGTGTAGTGCTTTCTCTAGTAATGTGAAGTATCTTTCTCTACACTAAAGCAGTTCTGAAGAAATGAAAGGAGAGCAAAATCTCACCGCCGCCAACGGAACGTCAGCTAGCGTAGCTTTAGCGAATAACACAAGTGAAAACAGTTCAACTACTATTGCACCAAACGTTACCACGATCAACAGCACTTCATCGAACTTCACAAGTGGAAATATGTCATCTGTTAAAACAGAAAATGTTACATCCGTTAACAGTCAAGGAAATGTTACTCTCAACTCGACTGGACATATATGTTTTAAAAAAAGGATAATTCGTTCTAAAGCCTTTGTGAAATCGTTTACTCTTCAGTACAGTGACAATGGTGAACTTTGGAAGACTTACCACGAAGGAGGGAATGTCAAGGTATGTGTGCTAATAACATGTCGAGTCCTTGGAACTCACCCAATCACACTGCAGCTTTGTGAGAAGCTGCTTCTATAAATCGAGCTCCTGAAACCTTTGTGGTCGATTAGAATCAGTTAAATGGGAGCATAAAGCAGATTATCTCAAATTAACTAGTGGTATTTTTGTTTGAAAAAAAAGTTTGTCGTCGAGCACTTTCGCCCAAACAAGCATTCAAATGAATTTTATTTTCATCCATTTTTTAGATATTTGAAGCCAATAATGATGCCAATACAACGGTAACACTTAAAATATCAAGTCTCTTAATCACTCGCTACATTCGAATAGAGCCTACAAGTTGGAAGAAAGAGGCCTGTATGCGTGTGGAGGTCTACGGTTGCAAAGGTATAGTAAACTAACTCCACTCTCCCTTTGGGAGTGACCAGAAGCTCTGAGAGTTAAATTTTTCATCCCCGATGAGTAGTTCCAAATGGTAGCCCCGGTTTCCATGAAAGATCACGTGGGAGTGCTGTACGTGCTGTACATTTCATGTCTTTCAAAAGGCGAGATTGCATCTCTGAGATTTTTACGATTTCTATAACACGATTTTGCCTCCTCGCTTTTTGCATTAATACCGTTCTTACAATTAGAATATTATATACACTTTAATTTAAGCTGGTCTTTATGTATTCTGATTGTGTTTCCAAAATGTCAAACGAGAAAGTATCTGGTGAATGCAACAAAAGACTCGTCTGACGTAACTGTAAAGTCAGACGTCTGTAGACACACAAACGTAATATTTTGTCCGTGTTACTGCACGGATAATGATGGAGTCAAAGTTAGCAGCATGAATTTTCCACAAATCATGAGCAAAATCAATCCTTTGATTTTTGTCCTTGATATCATTGCGTTCAACCTTGAGGAAGTCAGCCTAAGCTTTGTGCAACTGGCTCAAATATCTCTGCTTTTTGTTTTCTCTCTATATAGAATGCACAGGCGACCTGGGTGCCGGTTCAGGCGTAATCCCTAACAAGGCTATGACCGCCTCCACCAACTTGGGTCCAGGCTATCAAGCCTGGCTGGCACGGTTGTATAATCCACACGGAGCCTGGTGCTCAGCTACGAATGATGGAGATCAGTATCTTCAGATCCAGTTTCCACAGGTTCGCAAGGTTCGTCAACTGGGAACGCAGGGTTCTGTTGTTAAGAAAGGATGGGTGGCAAGATACTTGGTTAATTACAGCCAAAATGGAGAGGAATGGAAAGAGTATACGAATCTCAAAACAGTCGAGGTAAGCCATGATGTCATAAAACTATGGTTTGAAAAATAAAAATGAAAGACGCATGTAAGTATGAACACATCAACATTGGTTATAAACACATCAACAGCGTTTGAGCCCATAAAGAGTGATTCCCTTTTATCAGTAGTGAAATTTAAGGTCGCAAAAACTGATTGAATTCCCTCTCTGAGGAGCTCCAACCAAAGTATAGAACTTTGCTTCCTCTTTTCAAAGGCTCTTTTTTTCATAGATATTTGATGGAAACGTGAATGAACACGAAGTTGTGATAAAAAACTTTGTACATCCTTTTGTTGCCAAGTTTGTCCGCATCCGACCTGTAGCGTGGCATAATGCTATCTGCCTGAGGATAGAACTCTACGGCTGCCCAGGTAACGTTTCTTACATAAAATCATGGCTAGGGGAATCATAATCCCTTTGGAGGAGGCTGGCTGTCCATTTTATCTCAATTTTGTATTTTCTGAAGTAACTAGAAGCTTGGTTACCACCTCTCTAAGATGGAATGCAAGTATTTGAAAGGTTACCCAGCATTTCACCAGGTTTCCTTAGGCATTCTGTGGTACCAGCGCGTGTTTCTGAATGAAGAGAGAGGCTCTGTTTAAATAGGGTTTTGTTCCGTTGATCTTGTCCAAGAGCTCAACATAATGATCTTGGCTGGGCCTCGAACTTCGTTCTTTTGATCTTTTTTATCTGTTGTCCATCGCTAAGTGTTTGCCCCTGCGACTCTCATAACCACAACACCATAACAAAGACTAAATTGGCCCGGATTTAGTCTTTAGCACAAATGCGGGCGCAAACCAACATACACAGTTTCATAGAGCTTTTATTAAGTGTATAGTGATAGAGCTTGTCCAATTGTGATTATGTCTCCTTGAAGATTAAAAATAACGGCGAAACATGTGACAGAAAACATGGTGAAACAGAATAGTTACCTTTATTTACACAGAGGAGGGGGAAGTGATCGGAAAAAACACCTGCAAAAGCTTTTTGAAAGGGATTTGTGTTGATATAGGGTAATTTGAAAGTACATTCATTCTACTGGCTCTATCTTGTCTTAATCATCATAAGACTTAGGATCTCTCGATGACTTTCCCTCGTAGCTTGTGACAATCCTTTAGGTATGGAAGCACATGAAATTTGGGACGGAGACGTAACAGCAAATAGCCACAGAAGTCTTTATGAACCATACCGAGCTCGGCTTAATGGCGCCAGCGGATGGCAGGTCCAAAGCGATCGTTCTAACTCTCCCTTCATTCAAGTAAAGTTCGGGAGTGGTGACTTCACGCTTACAGGGGTGGCGACACAAGCCGTGCATAGCAATCTAGTCAAGTCCTATACCCTCTCGTACAGTTACGACGGCATAGATTGGGTGGATTATCGAGAAGATGGAAGAGTTAAGGTATTTTAACGTCCTACTTTCATAAAATTACAAATTTGGTGAGTTCAGAAGGGAAGGAGGGGGTAATGGTCAATTGATGCATGTACATGCCGTTACTGTCTTTCAGTCAAGTATTACATCGTTCAGAATCATTGACATTTTTGCTGGCATATAGATGAAAAATATTTTTGAAAATACAAGTTTACATTCGTAGAATATCAAATACTTTCGCTCTGAGAATATATTTTCTTGAGCAGATCTTTGAGGGAAACAACCCCTCCACCAAGACTGTAAAGCACGAATTACTCAGGGAGGTCATTCCTCTGTACATCAGATTAAATGTGAAGGATTCAACGGCTACATACGCAGGACTTAAATTAGAACTTTATGGCTGCAAACGTAAGTACATAATTTTTCCTGTAATTTGTTCTGCAGTGGCTCTCAGCTCTAGAATTCGAAGTACGAGACAGCAGATCTACTGATTGTTTCACACTTGAACTATTCCAAAGACTGATGGTGATCGCGGTGATTTCTAAGAGCGAGTCATCTTTCCACGGTCTTTTTAGTTTAATTGACATAGATGAACGGTATCTTGCAACAGTTTGAGAACTGAACTCCAGCATGGGTGTTCACCTTTCTTTAGTGGGCTCTCAAATTCATTAGGAATAAAACTTAAGACTCTCTCGAGTTTTATTAAGGAGCGCCCGTCAGCGTTATAATGTAGCCACAGTTTACCCAGCACCTCTCTTTGATTTAGTTGGAAATGAATGGGTAGAGGCTAGTGAGAGAAAGGCAAGAACTTTATTAATTCTACCCTTCTTCCTTTCGCCCATAAAATCTACTTTTCTTCCCAATATCCGTTATGTAGGGATTCCGATATAAAGACCAGGTATGTTGCGATTGGGTCGTCGCGTTCCGAGCGGCGCTCGCCAAAAAAATTGCTCAGGGAAGCAGTCGGTTTCAATCATGTCGAGCGAGCATGGGAATCAACTCCGGGATTTGGTTGCGCATTATATAATTACAGTGTGAAACTGTTGTAAATACTTGTGAGAAATTTTCATTGTTTTCGTTCAGCGTAAAGCACCTATACGTATTTTAACAGGTTGACAGGAAGAATGGGTTTTATAGATATCAAGAAACAATTGCTGGAAAATGATAGGGACGTATTGTGGAGGCGTTCAATTATGTTCATTTAAGAAAAAGTTGAATTAATTCGTTTTACAGGTTACGTTGTTGTCAATAACAACGATGCTATGGGTCGTCCAACATCTCAATCTGGAAATCTGACAGACACCTCTGCGCTTGCAATCGATGGCAACAGAACTAATTACGCGGCCAGTTCCTGTTCATTTACCGGCGAAACCGAGATACCCTGGTGGCAAGTCTATCTGCAGTCAACGAAGACCGTAACAGGAGTATTTATCGTAAACCGTGGCGACAAAAACTACCGAGAGGTCACAGAACTATCAATTAGAGTCGGCTTTATACAGAACAGAGGAGGAATTGGAAACCCGACGTGTGGTGGACAGTCCCATTTTTTCTCAAGAGGCGAATCCAGATTGGTTTCCTGTGTGCCGGAAGTGGAGGGCAGATTTGTAACCATATTTGCCCTGCAAGTCAATTCATCGCTTAGCCTATGTGAGGTGGAAGTTGAAATAAGCGATATAGGTTAGATTGTCAGTTCTTTATCTGGATTAATTAAATCATAATTGATAAAATTTAACCATATCAATGCTGAAGGAAACTGATCGTCTGCTGGTGACAGCAGACGCTGCTCGAGGGCAAAGGTTGCTATTTTGTTACTCGTGAAAAAATCCTTGAGTAATTCACCTCAGACTGTCTTAGTGTTAGTCAGTGTAGGAACGAGATTAAACACAGATAACGTAACAAAACCGTTGCATGATACCTACGTGAATTGCTACGACCTTAGGAAGAGTTGTCATTTCCCATTAATTTCAGATTCAAATAACTTTTATTCCGTTCCTATTCAATGCGGAAGAACAAGTGATTGCAAAGCAAAAGCTCAAGGAAGGATGCATTTGTATTATTTAAACGATTTTTTGATCAACATTGACAACCAACAATATTAGACAAAACAGCTTTGACTTTATCCACGCCTCCCCTTTCTTCGTATACTTTGTATAACTAAAAAGTACAGATCGGCATTAATGTGGCTATCATAGTTTGCAAACTCTTGTCTTTTCCAAACACCGCGTCCCCGTAAAATGCTAATGATAGTTTATTTCCTTCTTTCGTGCATTAGTCAGTCAAGAAGGTCTGGGAATGTTCTCGGATCGTATCCCGGATGATCGCATCACTGCCTCGTCTTGGCTCAGCGCCAAACATCTACCACGTTATGGGAGACTGGACAGGGACATGGGCCACGGAGCGTGGTGTAGTGCACGGAACGACGATCAGCCTTATTTGGAAATTGACGTGGAAATCGAACACATGATCACTGGTATTATTATCCAGGGTAAACATCGGCTGTCCTCCGATAAGCTCGGATTTGCTTGGGTTACCGAGTTCTTTCTGTCTTTTACCGCCAACCGGGAAAACTGGACTTTTGTTACCGATGTTAAGACCAGCCAACCTATTGTGAGTAAAATCAGCCGTACGGAAATGTCTTATTTAAAGCTAATTTTGTTTCAGGATTTACAGCCTGGCAAGGCTTTGACAGCGCGTCTGCTTTTCCCTAATAACAGAAAAAATATGCCGCAATCAGCTCATAGTCAGCGAGCAGGCCCTCATCATCAACCCTGCAAGACACGCGTTTCTCCTTCCTCGGGAAGATTTGAGTCGAATCAGTGAGTGCTTCGACGGGGGTCTGGCACTAATATCAGTGCTGGACTTCAAGACCTCATACTTTCCACGGCCGAGGAAACGCTGGTGCCGAATGCGTAATAAAAGAGGCCTGTTCATATGCTTGTAATGTTCAAAAAGCAATCGTTACTTCGCAGTCATCACTTAATATAAAGAGGTTACTACCTAACTCTTATCACAGTCTTTTAAGTCTCTAAGTTGTTGGTCTTAATGTTGAGGTCTCTTCGTATAGTCACTGATTTCATTTCTCGAATACAGGGAACTTAAACAAGAGAGGATTGTTGAACCCACCTTTTCGTAATTTTCCTTTAAGGCGTAGCATCTATTGAACAAAATTGGTTTTTATTATAAAGAATAATACTTTCTTCTTTTGCTAACAGTAATGATGATAATTGGACTAAGCGCTCTCTGAACGATTGACGAAGATTTTAATGGTCGCTTACTATTCGCTGTTGATTTCTTGTTTCAGAGATTTCTCGGAAATGATGAAGTTAATTGGAGAAAAAAAATCGGACTGCTCGGGTTTACTGGCCGCTATATTCGCTTTCACCCTGAGAAGTGGATTAACTTGCCTTGTCTTCGGGTGGAGCTCTTGGGAACTAAAGGTGTGTTCTTCTACTGGGATATACAGTCAAGTACACTGTTGAATCCAGCGGCCCGAAATACAAACTTATTAATCTGGCTTTGTGTTTCGATCATTAGATCAGATAACTGTAAATTTGTTTGCTCAGATCATTAACCCATCCACTTCACCTTAATCGTTTGCTCATTATAATTGTGGTTCGTCCTTCGGATATAGCTAATGTTCAGATAGTGGGGCAAAAAGTCGACATAAAATGAATTTAAGCAAAGCTTCTCCAAATCAATACACATGTCACTGTTAATCATGTTTTTTTTTAATCATAGTTTGTTCCGCTCCCTTGGGAATGGAATCAAGACTAATACGAAACTCGGCCATTCGTCATTCCAGTTATCATTCATATTACTATGGCTATCAAGCAAGGCTCAGAAATAGTTATTATTGGTTACCACAAAATGCGGATGAATTCGCCTTCCTTAAGATTGATTTTGGGGCTTACAAACAGCGTTTTACCGCATTGGCTATACAATCTGGGGGTGGTGGCTTTGTGACCAAATTCAAATTATCCTACAGTGTGGAGGGCTGGTCGTGGAGGAACTGGATCGAAGACGCTCGCGAACAAGTGAGTAACCTGACATAAACGTTCTCATCTTCTTTGTTTCTAAAAAGGAAGGTTTTTTGCTGATGAATCTCATTTTGGTTCCCTTTTCCCATAAGCCACTTTTTGGAAGCCATGGAAGCAGATGTGCCTTCATGACCTCGATCCAAATATTAGGGAGTTTAAAAAAACCACGACGGCAACGTGAACGGGAACGTCATTAAACAAAAGGTTAAATGAGCAGAGCAATGGCTCTGCACGTACGTTATAAATCTTTGTAAATCTCTTTGCGTCCTCTGCAAAACAACGTGAAATGACCAAACTTTGCGTTGTTTGGAGAACGCGAACGACGACGGATAATTTTTTAAATTTCTATTTCCTATTTGACGCCATGTTCCATATTCAGTTTTGACAGTAAAAAAAAAAAAAACTAAATTAATAAAGAGTATCGCGAGATTCTTTGGTAAAATAAAAGTTCATTTTCTTAACCGGCGTTGCCGGTCCACGACGTCTCCGTCGTCGTTTCTTAAATTCCCTATTTTCCTATTAGGCCACCCACTTAGTCTGTAAGTGCATGTTATTCTTGATAGAAGTTATATTGGATATTGCTCGCCATCCCAAAATCGCAATGCAAAAAGGCTCCTTGATCTGTTAGTAATTAAGGTTCTCCTTGAGATCATTGATATTTTTCATCCTTCTCTTTTCATTGCCTTCTCAGATTTTTTATGGAACTAAAAACAGAAGAAGCATCAGGAGATTTTTTTTGCCGTATTCTGTAGAAGCACGCTACTTACTAATTAGCCTTCTAGCTTATGTCGGAAGTAGGGATACTCGTATCGAGGTCTATGGATGTAAAGGTTTGTGAAAGACAATCTATCTGTCATGATATGAAGGCCAGGGATGATCTGAAGGATATAGCGACCAAAAACCTTGTTATTTTGGTATTTGTACTGTTGCGTTACATTCCATTGAGAATTTCGTGGTATAAAGTTATTGAAACCATAAATTCAGTTAAAAAAGGAGACGGGTTTTGAAAACTATTAAAAATGAAACAATTTAATATTTGAAATTGGAATCGTAAATGGGCCAAGTTCATATCACTTATACTACGTCTTGGTCTTACTAAGTCCCTTAGAGAAAAACTTTTCTAACAATCCTCATCAGTCGTATGTCCCCAGGTTTAGTTCCTAAAATTACCGCTGAATATATAGTGAAACTCTGATACGGGGTTGATCTTGAACTAACTTGAATAAATACTGGCAGAAAGATGCTTGATGTGTGACCATGAGATGATATAATGTGAGCGCTAAACGGGCTACCTAGATCAGACTTGTCAATGAATGCACACTTGTGAATGAATGCACAGCGCATAAAACCTTATCCGACCAAAATAAGTTCAAGAGCGGATTTATCGATACTTAGAATTTCAAACTGCAACAGTAGACATCACTCAGTGTCTCTCTGGAATAATACTCACAGGTGGTTAATTTTAAAATATCAAGTTGCCTTCAACTGCAAGCACTCGTCCCCTGTTTCTGTAACATACAGCGACCAGGAGTATGTCTACTCTTCTCGGTCAGGTGTCTTGTACCGTTGTTTGTTACCCATTTCCACTCCTAAGTGGAGAGGGAGGTTGAAATAGGAAAGTTCCGCGCCTCAGAACAAATCTCACACTCTAAAAAGTTATTTTATCGGTGACTTGTGCAAAGTTGTATGATTATGTCGTCTCTTGCCAGGGGATTATTCTGCCCTTACGGTGGGAGTTCAGCGCATCGACAAAATTGCCAATTCTTCTATGACCGCCTCAAGCTGGAAACCTGGTTACTACCCTTATGCAGCGAGGTTGTACGGGTCGATTGGAAGTGGTTCTTGGTGTGCGGCTGCTGCCAAAAAAGATGAATATCTGCAGGTGGATCTAGGAACACAATACAACTTGGTCAAAATAGGGCTGCAAGGTGACGCTGCATCGGGCTCAGGAGTAAAACGGTTCTACATTGCTTACTCCGGAAATGGAGGAAAGTGGACTGATTACATGATACATGGAGTGGCAAAGGTAGGAAGAGGGGG